AACAAAACTGCTCAGGAGAAGAGAGTTTTTTATCATTTCATAAGCTTTTATGGCTTAGCTGTATATCACTGTGGTACAGCCCACAACCCTTTATTCACAATCCTGAAATCTAAAGAGTCCTGAAAACCTTAAAAAAAAAGAACTGGGAAAATATACATAAAATTTACCATGTTAAACAATTTTAAGGGGCTGGCCAATTAAACTCACTCAGTAGAGGATGGTGCTGATAACACCAAGGTCAAGGGTTCAGATCCCTGTACCGGCCAGCCGCCCCCCAAAAACAAACACTTTTAAGTGTACAGTTCATTGGCATTAAGTATATTCATATTGTTATGCCACCATCACCGCCATCTGTACAGAACTTTTTCACGTTACAAAACTGAAACTCTGTATCCATTAAACAGTAACTTCCCATTCCCCTCCTCCCCTACCCCCACCCAGTCCAGTCCCTGACAACTATCATTCTGTTTTGACTACTCTAGGTACCTTATATAAATGGAATAATACAATATTTGTCCTTTTTTGTCTTGCTTATTTCACTTAGCATAATGTCCCTAAAGTTCATCCATATTTTAACGTATGTCAGAACTGCGTTTCTTTTTAGGGCTGAAAAATATCCCATTGTATGTATATATCACATTTTGTTTATTCATCCATCCATCAATGGACACTTGGGTTGTTTCCAACTTTTGGCTGTTGTGATTATGCTGCTGTGAACACTGGTGTACAAATAACCTGTTTGAGTACCTGCTTTCAGTTCTTTGGTGTATGTATCTAGAAGTAGAATTGCTGGGTCATGTGGTAATTCTGTTTAATGTTTTGAGGAACTGCTATACTGTTTTCCATAGTGGCTATAACCATTTTTCATTCCTACTAGCAGTGCGACAAGGGTTTCAATTTCTCCACATCCTTACCAACACTTGTTATTTTCTGGTGTTTTGTTTTATTTTGTTTTGTTTTGTTTTTTAAAATAATAACTATCGTAATGGGTATGAAGTAGTATCTCATTGTGGTTTGATTTGCATTTCCCTAATGATTAGTGATATTGAACAACTTTTCACATGTTTGTTGGCCATCTGTATATTTTCCTTGGAGAATGAAAAAAAAAATTTATAACTCATTTTGTAGTAAGATCTCTATTTACCTAAACTCGGTCGTTGGCAAAACATGATCTGAGCTGGTGTGAAACTATTTGCATTTTTTACTTATTCCAGTTAGTGTGAGTATTCATATATTTTGCTAAAGAAATATTAATGTGTCTGATTATGGAGTACTCCAAATCCTACTGGAGCTTTTGATTTAATACACATGTATACACTATAATACTTTTCTGAAATCAGAAAGATTCAGAATTCCACAACACATTTTACTCCAAGAGTTTCAGATAAGTTTGTGGACTTGTAACTTCACTTTGGAAAAGTAAGTTTCAGTATTTAAAAACTTACAAACTTTTAGAATTCAGGGAGTTGAGGGCTGCCTGCACTTTCTATCTCTCTTCTACCCATTTTGTTCTTTTCTTTGTGCTTCACTGTTACTATTTCTAACCCTGGTGTTTTTGTCTCTCACCCTCTCTGAGCCTTGTTTTTTTCAGTCCGTAAAGTGGGCATATTGTTTTCCACTTTGGGAGATGGATTGTAGAGATTAAATGAGGTAACAATATAAGACTCCAAGTCTGGCACAGTTGGTGCTTCACAAATGCTGATTCTCTTTATTCCTTAAGTATATGCTGTCTTATGTGAACTCTCTCTGCATACCTCTTTCATCATGTAACTTTTAATCCTTAATGAAAGGAATTATTATTTCTATGAGAAAATGTGTGAATACCAGAAAGACATCTCTTCCCACATTTCACAGCCTCATACAGATAACTGGGGGCAGTCCTACTATTTACTCTCACCTCAGAATGTCATTCCATCATGGGTATGGAAAGAGAAGGTCGAGGGGGAGCTATCTAATGGATAGAAAGGGGAAGGGAGCAGGGCAGCATTTATATAAATTATAATTTTGTGTTTGTACCAGATCTTGAGTAGGGGGTACTGCAGGAGTGGCTTCTATATATTAGAAATTGGAATTATATAAGTCATTTAATAGAAGCCAAGTTTTTGTAGAAGAGTAATAATATTTTCTTATAAACTGCTAGCAATAAAAGTTTTTTAAATCTAAAAATAGGCATATTTAAAGTTTTCTTTTGGTTTAGCCCAATTACTATTACATTTAGTACCACCCCCCCCACCCCCAGTTATCTTACATTATGTAGAGCTAGGGCTAGGGTCTGGAGCTCACAGACCCCTCGAGCCCATTCACAAACACTTCACACTCAGGTCTGTGAGCTAGGTAACTGGCAAAAAGTCCTTGGAGCCTTGGCTGAAGAAAGAATATTCTTTATTCAGCACAAACATGTCTGAGAGCTAGGCAGTACAAAGAGAATCTCAGAAACTCAACTACTTACTGGCAAAGTCCAAAGAAAAACTGAGCAGCTGCTGCAGAGTAAACATGCTCTATTTTTAGATATAAGCTCTGTCCCCAGCTCTGCTTCACAAACTGAAGAACACACACAAGCAACAAACTAGAAAGATACATGGGTGCACATGCACACTAACTCCACCCACACACAACTTGTTTACAAGAAATGTGCTGCTCCACCTCCAACCAGACCTGAGCCGAGGGAGCCTGACTAAGTTATCCTATTTTCCCCACACATTAGAAGGTCAATTCTGGCCTGGAATATATGTCATCTTTTAAAGAATTTGGCATATTCAAATGAGAAGGCAGTTCACATGAAGTGGCAGAACTCGAGTTAAAAATTCTTAAAAATACATTTTGTGCTCCTAAACAGGAGCAACAGCTATTAGATAGCTGCTGCTTTGGAAAGTTGCATGTTTAATGAAAAAGTATTTGGGTTGAAATTTTAAAATAAAATGACCTAGCAAAGGTGACCTTGTAATTCAGATATGATAGTTTGGTTTTGGCAAGGAATGGGTTAATGAATGGTTCAGATGGCAGTGCCTTCTCCCTGTGCACAGAGCATTGCTGACTTCTCAACCTTAATCAACGGAAGCACTAAACACCATACTCTGGAGGCTTGCCCGAGGGAGCTGGGAGTGGTGGAGGACACGAGGGTGAGGGCATGTGCCAGAGCATTTCGCAGTGCAAAGGTGAGGGTAGGTGTGGGCAGAGGGAAAGTCTGCCATGAGGCTCATTCTGTACAGGCTCTCTCAGTTGCTATGATGTGCAAACAATTATACTGGAACTGGATGTCCTCTTTCACATCGGGCATCCACTTGGAAGAGCGATGGGTAGCTGATGGGAAAGCTGTCAAACAGCAGGCAGTGCCATGGCAGGTGCATGTTTTCAACTTTTGTGCTACCTATTTATCCTTTCCTCAGGAAGGTAGATTTGTTTTCTGGTATTTGGTTATTCTGATATTTTTCTATACTGCTGTTGTTATTTTGAGCTGTGAAGATAGATGAAAAGATACTTTATGAGTGAGAATACTTGATTCTGGAATGGAGTTTAAAGAACAGCCTTTTAAAAGCCATTTTACAAAGTTCTATTTTGGTTTTGAAAAATTAAAAAATCCTAGTTTAACCCTGTCTTGTATTTCTTTACTGTTTTTGCATTGGGAAGAGCCCAAGTACTTTGTTGGTGCTATAATGCAATTTATCCAACTAATAGAAGATGTTTGTCTTTTGTTTTGAGGTGTCTAGGGAAGAGCTTGAGGTTTCACTTGGCTGTATTCCAGCGTGAGATAAATCCCTCAGCCTTTTTTAAAAGGGAATGGTTAGAAAGACCAGGAGAGTTCTCAATTGAGTTGTAGTGAAGAAGCTTCTTTGTTATAAATGAATTTATAGAAAAACAGTGAATAAAAATTTCTAATCTTTTTAGTTTTTTTTTTTTAATAAGATATGTGTGTTTGTGTCTGTGGGCTCCAATGAAAAACTTTGAATGATCTCTCAGTGATCTTTAAAGCATAAAGTTGAAGGATAGTTTTGGTTGTTCTTTTGATGAAGTTATTAATACTTGTATTTGATTAGGCTAAAGTCTAGCTTTGTTTTTTTTCTTAAATCAGTTAATATTTATAGAGCATGCATGATAAATACACATGTAAACATACACACACAGGTATATGTATGAATTTGTCGCTGGATGGGGTGCAGAGAAAATCAAATTGCCCTCAAGGGGAGGTTTTAATTTGAGGTTTTAAACCCTGATTTTTGTTGGCTTTAGCAATGGCTTATATTTGAATTGCTGGTGTGGAAGTCAAGCAAGTCATAAAGGCTTTGTTTGGATATACATCATACAGAGGTTGTTCAAATTATGGCAAGGATAGGGGGGCATTGAGTGTTTTCATTATAAACAGAAGGTAGAAAAAAGGGATAGTCTGTGTATAACAAAGTATTTTTCTCTTTTGTCAAATCTGTGCAGAGCTACTGGTGAAAATTTTGTGTGTACTGTGCAATGAATTAAAAACTCTTTTGAGAGTACTTGTTTTGTCATATTCTTTTTATATTGTTCTTGAATATCTATATCCCAGACTAGAAAATCATTCTTTTCTATATGTGTTTACATGTTAAGTAGGTCGTTTCCATTGTTGTCAGGTGAGTCAGTGTATGTATGACCTTGATGAGTATGCAGCATTCCTCTCTACCCTTTTAAAAGTCATTCTTTATCTTACATCCCCAAATATTCAGCAGTTTCTCTTTGTCATTGAGGGAGTAAGTTTAGTTGAGGAAAATATTGTCAGTGTTACTAAGTATAATAAATGCAGTAATACCAAAGACATTTGGTTCTAAGAGATTTATTAGCATTTTTATAATTAATTTGGATGCTCTATTTAAAGAATAATACAACTTATTTCAAAAAATTTTTTTGCTTGTTGGTTTTTCTTTTATTCTCCTATGGAATCCTTAGAAGACAACATTTCGATTCAGATCTTTTTTTGGTGTTAACTCAGTGTATCTAATTTAGCTAACTTTTGCAATTATTTCTTGACTGCACAGAAAGTTGGAGTGACTGGTCCCCCTGATCCACAAGTTCGCTGTCCCTCTGTCATTGAGTTTGGGAAGTATGAAATTCACACCTGGTACTCTTCCCCATATCCTCAAGAATATTCAAGGTATGTTTTGAGAGACCCTTTACCTTCTGTTTTTAGATTCATAGAAGTCTAGAACTAGAAGGGATCTTGAAGAAGTTTTAGTTCAGTTCATCTTTTTACAGTTGAGGAAACTGGGCATTTTTAAATGTCCATAATAGCAGCATGCTTTGGCACCCACTTAATTCCAGTTGGCTTTAGATTTTCTCTTCTGTAACCTGTCCAAAAGTTGTTGTTTAAAATTAGAAACCTGACATATGGTCAAAATAAAAGGGGAAAACTTTTTCTTTAAGAGAAATTTGCTTTACCCGAAGAATTTTTAAAAAAGAAAAAAACAGAGAATCTTATATATAACTATAAATAAGTACAAAGTTTCACTTGAGTAGCCTTTGATCTACATTTTTATAATTTAGCAAATTTAGTGAATTGTTTGTTTTCCCAGGAATAATTGGACAAATGGTATAAAATTATATGTAAAGAGCTTGGGTTTCCAGATATAAAAATCAACCACTCACTAGCTTTTTGGGATAAAGCAACATGCTTAGTGGAACCAAACTGGGTTCATGTCTCAGCTCTGGCATTTTTTAAGCTGTGTGACCTTAGAAGTTACCTAATTACTCCATGCCTTGGTTTTGTGATCTGTAAAATGGAGATACTAATAGTACTTACCTCATGTGGTTATTATGAACATTAAATGAATTAAAACAGGTAAATCAGAAAATGGTAGATGCTCAGGGCTGGTTGGTTAGCTCATCTGGTTAGAGCATGGTGCTGATAACACCAAGGGCAAGGGTTTGGATCCCCATACTAGCCAGCTGCAAAACAAAACACCAAAAAAAGAAAATGGTAAGGGCTCAATAACGTCAGTTATATTATAGTTTTTCTTTAGGGTTGAAATTAAAAGAATGAAATAAGATGTGATCAAAATAAACACCAGTTTATTGTTTGAAGTATAGAAGTCACATTAATGTTCTTTAATCTGTAAATTACTTATGCCTCAGTTCCTCATTTAACAAGGTGTTGTGAGGAATAATAAATCATGGTGCTCTTTGGGTTGAACATATGTTCAGAATATTCTCATCATATAACTTTTTACCTATCTAGAAACACTGCCTGTCCAAAATATTAGCAAAATTAATTATAACAACATTTAATTAGTGTTTTACAGTGTGTAGTATGCTTTAACATAGGTTGTGTCCAAGAAGCTGGGACAGAATAGACCAGTATATTTGTTAAAGGGGCATCCACTAAAACTCAACATCATTTTTATTTTTTCTTTCCCCACAATGTAATAACTTGCTTATCTGGTTTCCAAGACTATAGCAGAAGTAGAAAAATAGGAGCCAAAATGCTATTACAGACCTCGACTCAGTGAAGAAATGATAACTCACAAAAAAGGAAAAAGAAAAACTCCATGAAACTAACATACAAGCTCATGAAACACAACAATTGAGAACCATTTACTGTAGGGTCAGTTAGCCCTAAACACTGTGCTATGTCTTTAAGACAGCACCCTGTATCATGGAATAATAACAATCTGAGTTTAACAGAAGGTTAAGTTATATTTATATTTGTATATTATTATATATTTATATTGTATTTATATGTGGTAAAAGAAGGCAGGAAATTCCTCAACCACCTACAGAACTCAGGTGTTCAAGGTAACTCATTCCTCAGGAGTTCCTGATAGCCAGGATCTTGTATAATCAAGAAGAAATATTCTGAGGAATTAATTTCTTCATCAGGTTTAAAATACGTTATTATTATCATTTTTTTAGTGAGTTCTTTGCAAGTTCGAAAAGAAAGCTTGTTCAACATGTATATCCACCGTTGCAGGGATTATGGTGAAGATAGATTGAAGCCACAGGCACCCTGTCTTTTCTACTCAAGGGAAGGAGAGGAAATTAATAGATGCAGGAATGGAAATAGAGAGCTGGCCTCAGTTTTTCAAGAGAATGATGAGAGTGGAACTGTGAGCTGTGTCTTTTAAGATATCAAAAGGGATTCATTGAAAATACTGCTTTTTATTCTGATGAGATTGTTGCTAGAACCAGATGTGAGGGAACTGGTTATCAGTGAAGGAATAAATATTGCCAGTAGAAAATAAATAGCCAAAAAAGTATAATAGGAATCATAACAGAAAGCAGAAATAGGATAGGAACTGTAAAGTTCATTAACTTCCTTAAGCAGAATTTTGGACATTTTCTATACATTTCTTTATCAGTTGTGAGTTTTCCTTGTAGAAAATATTCTCTAATTTAATAGGCTCCTTGAGTATTCCAGTAGAAAATATTCTTTAATTTAATAGGCTCTTTAGTAATTAAGACTTTTTCTGTCTATATATTCGTGTTCGTTTAGTTGCATTTTTTTTTTTTAAACTACATATATCTGTTTAAATGGGTTTGGGTCGTTTTACTTCTGAGTTCTTTTAAACTTGAGTTGACTGAAATGTTTAGAGATCTTATATTTTCTAAATAATAAACCTCTTCTCTTAATTTTGGTAATGCCTACTTACATTCTGTGCTAAATTGCTTCTAAATTATTTTCTTATTAAAGGGTTTAAACATTTTTAAAAAAATTTCAAATCTCGAAGCATGCCAAAACAGGGCAATTGGAGCAAACTGAAAAGAAAAAAATCACAAGAGGAAAAATCTTTTGAGAAGTGAGATTATACTTTAGGAAGTACCCCATAATATCCAGGTATTTGTGTGTACATTGTATATTAAGTAATCATTCATCCCTGACTTTACAAAAAAAAGCAGCAACAAAGCAACAATACTGTTTCATTTGGAGTGGTTGGTTAAGTCTCAGTCACTGAAGAGTTTTAGCCATAAGTTTCTCCAGTGCCACGTGATGCTCCCACATGGCAGAGATAGGTTCTTAGAGAACCATTAAAAATATGACATGGATGGGCTTCAGGCAAGAGAATCTGTTGTCATGGGCTATCCTTTTCTCCTGAGCTGCTTAGAGCTTAGCTCCACAGTAACCTCTTTGCTACAAGATCAATTTGAGATCCTAACGAGGGAGATTCCTGTATAATAAAGAAGATTCGGAATCTCCCTCTGCCTTTTGTTTCTCTTCCTGACTTGATTTGATGTATAGATTATGAGATCGTTGCTAGAGCCAGGTTTAATTATTCTCATAATCCCAGTTACCAAAGAGAAACCAAACAGAAACCTTAACACCCTTGGCTATTTAAATGATGAAGTAAAATGGATGAAAGGAGAATTTTTTAAAAAATCATAAATAATAACAACTGTAATTACCATTCAATGAGCTTGGTACTGGAGTAAGCATCTCTGGAATAACTCTGTGAGGTGTGTTAATTGTCTTCATTTTACAGAGCAGGACCCAGCAAATGTATTTAAATAATACAACTTGTGGCAGAACCAGGATATAAGCCCACTTCTCTCCTTCAACATAGCCATAACCTTTAGCCACTGTGCTTGCTCTGCTCCATGCAGCATGTGTATCTAGATTGATTTCACTTGGCTTGTACCAAGTGATTTAATCAAATAATCTTTGATCTAAGTAATATTTGGTGTAAATTTTATTGTTATATTGGAATTTTACTACAAGTTGACCTATTATAAAGGCCACACAAACTGCAACCGTCTTGAACAATGTTCAGAAGCCAAAATGTACTGTAGGAATTCCTGGGAAGAATATTTGCACCATCCTAGAACTAAGGAAAACACACATAGTTGCAGCCCAGCCTCATTTCAAGTATAGAGGCTATACATCATGATGCAGCTGATCAAAGCGACGCAATGTTCAGAAGCCAAAATGTACTGTAGGAATTCCTGGGAAGAATATTTGCACCATCCTAGAAGTAAGGAAAACACACATAGCTGCAGCCCAGCCTCATTTCAAGTATAGAGGCTATACATCATGATGCAGCTGATCAAAGCGACCACACAGCTTCTGATTTGATACTGGAGGCTCAGGTGCTGTCAGGAAGAAAATCACCAAAAGCCCCAGCAGGATTCTCGAGGGCTAAAGTAATCATAATCTCCATAATGACCTTTCATTTCATGTCGTCCAGTATTCTTTCTGTATGATATGTATTTTCAGTGAGAGAACTGAACTGCAGTTATTTGTACTAGTACCAGGAGAAATGTTTTGTTTTTCATTGTTCCCATTAGATTAACAATGTCATCCCAATGGGCTTGGTTCTAATAACAACATTTTAAAAACATTTTAAAATGTTTTCAGCAAGAACTGTATTGGAATAAAGTAGATCATAATGCTTGCTTTTACTCTATTATTTTCATATAATAAGGTTTACTGAAGTGTGTTTTCATTAATAAAATGCCGTATATCTTGCTATTCTAAGAGAATGGCCTGAACTAGTAATTTACTAGATAAGACTTGGCAGTAATTTTCTCAGAGATTATATTTCTCTAATGTTTTCTTGAGCAACTTGGTTACTGCCAGAGCTTTAAAAAAATTGGCCTTTTCTCACAGACTTGAGGAAATACATTATACTCTCTTCTCTTTCTTTTGCTTTTGTTTTTTTTCCAGAAAAGTAATTAGTATTTATTATTTTTGTTATTTTTTTATTAGATAGAATTGTATGTATTTATCATGTACAACATGATGTTTTAAAGTATGTACAAGTATACAAGTACACAAGTACATTGTGGAATGACTAAATCTAGCTAATTTTAACATAAAATCTACTTTATTTTCATGTCTCTGTACTGAGAACTAACGGTTGGATTGGATGCTCTTAAAGTTGGCATTTATCTTAAGCATAATTTGGAAAGCTTAATGGTCTGTTGTCTGTCACTTTTTTTTCCTGTCATTTTTCTTTCTTAATACTTTACGAAGCACAGAATTTTGTTTAGGTTTCTCGGATTCACATTACACAGAATGTTTAGCTGTAATAAGTAGCCCTCAAAGTGAAGCTTTTTTCATGTAGTGTTATTTCTTCATCTTCACCTTGTGATAAGTGAAAATGGCTCATGAAGAATCCAGCACAAGTGAACAAAGGAAAGTGGTAGAAGAGTTAGGCAGGGTGCTGTCAGTTACATTTAAATAGGGAGAACTCACTTTTCACCTTCCTTTTTAGAAGAAATCTTTCAAAATCCAGATAATTGAAGAAGACGGTGTGGATCACCTTTAAGACTTAGTTAATACGTTGAGTGCCCACATTAGATGTTGAAGTTTACAATTAGAGTCATTTCATTTTGAGATTTGTAGCTGTGATAGTAAAAAAGGAAAAAGCTATTCATCTCGCTGCCATTCATATTCTGAATAGTGGGGTTTGAGGCAACATGAAAGGACATACCCCAAGTAGTCCATGATATATTTCTTTTCCATGCTCCTACTTCTTGACTTTAATTTATAATGTCAGTCATTATTGTTTCACTCAGTACTTTATTTCAGAATGATTTTGTACTAATGATATAATTTCAGGTTGTGTTGGTGTGGCTAATATTAGAGATTTTGGAAGACAACATTGCATATTATAGACATTTAGAAATACTGTACCACAGCAGTTCCTTGGAAGCTTTCAATGTGCTGAATGGCAGTTTCAAAAATAAGGCGTAAGATTATATGGGAAGAATTAATGCACATTGTTAATCTTCAAGGGAGAAGGAAAAAAAAAATCATATGCCTTTTCCCACCCTTATTTGAGCATGAACTGTTTAGTGCACACAGGACTATTCCATACGCCTTGGGAAAGGCTTTAGTAGAATGTTAGGTGTTTTCAGATAATTTATAATTATGGGGGCCGGCCCGGTGGCGCACTGGATAGTGCGCCGCTTGGGAAGCGCGGCGGCGCTCCCGTCCGAGGGTTCGGATCCCACATACAGACCGGCTCCCGCTCACTGGCTGAGCGAGGCGCGGGAGCAACGCCGAGGCTTGTGATCCCGTTG